TCGGTGGATAAAGCGAGTCGAGTTCGACTGACGACCACCAGCAGCAGCAACAGCAAATCGATAGTGCCAATAATTCGACGAACATCGGAACCGTACGGCGACGAGGAAGAAGAGGGTGGCGAGGGAAATTCCTGGGAGAGAGGTTTCATCGCGGATTGATGTCAGATTAACTTCGATGACCTTCGGCGCGCTGCCAGTCGTTTATTACACACTGAAACGTGAAGTCACGGCGCCTAGCAGCTGTTATGTGCCAACGGACCAATTGGCATGTTGCATTCGGTGGATGGATGAACCGCGGTCCACAACCGCGCTCGGCTCGGTCTCGGTCTGGCCAATGGAACGCATTCTACCACCAGCTGTGGTACAGTCCACCGTCAACGACGAGACATAAACAACGACGGCTGGTCGGTCAGTCGAACATATGTGATGCACGGACGAGGGGGAGGGGTGAACGACCGGACGACGACGACAACATGCAACGTTGTCAAGGCTAACAAGGCGACAAAGGACACGAACGCGCAAGGACGACTGTCGCCCTCGATTTACGTGCTGAGGAAGAAGGTGGACGCCGGCAAAGCGTAGCAGGTAATAACAAGAGGAACGGCGACGACCGATCGGAAAAAAGAGGAAGAAAGGCAGATGCACTTAGTGGCAGCTACGACGTCAGGAGAAAGACACGACATACCTCTGTCGTTGAAGTCGTCATCTCAACGCTACACTAAAAACTTTCATTCGCCATGCCATCCGGGCATTCGACAACGTATAATGTTTATAAACTCGATGGGTGCCCTGCGTCTGTTGACATGGCATGCGCCAATGCTACGACTAAAGCACATTGCTCGTTCACTGTCAGTCCATCGACTCAACTTCGCACTCAAAATTAGCACCTCGAAAGAATTTCATCAACCTGCGAGGCAGTACAGTACGTAATCGATCATCCAAGTGCCCACAAACTGCGTTCGCAATGAAAGGGAGTAAAAACGAAAGAGTATTTCAGAATGTCAATGACAATAACGATAAATACAGTTTCACATAAGTACCTATACGCTAA